GAGGGCCTTAAAGCCTGCTGTCAGCCTTCAGGACTCCACATACCCTTGGATTTTTTTTTTTTTCTCAAGACTAATAGAGTTAGATAGAGTCTCTTTTTTTCTACCCTTTCCTCAAATTTTCCAAAAAAGGTAACATCATTGTCTTTGGGTGTTAACAGTTTTATTGCTTATCACCATAAGCAAAGAGGGGGATAACAACTATTTCTTTTTAAATGGAGAGGCTTGTTCAGTCCCTAAGGAAGTGATCACTGGCCTTGACTTCTTATATCTGTGAGAGATGATAGTTTTAGATTCTACTTACTTCTGAGGATGTAGTTCACTAACACACTTTCCTACTTCTGATCCCCTGTTGGAGAAAGGCCATGTGGGTCTTCCATCCTACAAAGTTCCCTCTTTCTCTGTGATACTGTAATCAAAAAGTCAATCCAAGAAAAAGAGTGGGATACCCTAAGCTGGCAGTCGGTACCCCTTAAAGCCTCCATATTGGATTATAGCCAGCATATTGTGTTTCTGCCTGTGAGTTAATTTATTCACTCTTCAGATATTTACTTATGTCTACCAGGTTTCAGGCACAGTTCTGGTTGTTGGGGTGCCACAGTGAACAAAATAACAATCTCTGGCCTCAGTGAGCTTACATTCTAAAGAAAGCATAAACTGCTGTCAGATTGCATAAGTGCTATGGAGAAAAACAAGGCAGGTAAGGAGAGGTGGTGATTGATATTTCATGTGGGTCCGTAGGGAAGACCTCGCTGTTAATGTGGCACTGAACAGAGACTTGAGGAGGGGAAAGAGAGAGTCCTGGAAGGGGAGGAAAAGAATTGCAGATGAAGCAAAGAACAAATGCAAACTCCCCGAGGAGGGAGTGTCATAGTGTGTGTGCAAGAATGGAGAGACCGAGCGGGTGAAAGGGACACTAGCAGAAGATAAGCTTGGAAAGGGAGAGGCTGGTTGGACATAGAAAAGATGAGGCCATACAGCACCTTGTAGGGATTACCTTGCAGGCATTGCAAGAGTTTTGGCTTTTACTCTAAGTGAGAAGGCAAAGTACTGGGAGCTCTGAGAGAGGCTGAGTGACGTGACTTACACAGTGACTGTCCTCTGGCTTCCTTAGCTGGATTGCCAGTCCTCTGAGAGCAACGACTCATCTCTGTAGACAGCACAGTTCCTGACATAGGCTAGGTCTGCTTTGGCAAAATGGGTCCAGACAGCATCTGACAGAGGTGTGCCTTAGAGCTCCAAAAAAATTTGTTTTGTCTTGAGGCACATCAAAAATATCAGATGCAACGTAGTGAATTGAAATGTGCTGTTTGGAGAACCTTCTCGGTGTTTTCCTGTGTCTTTTGTGCTGACCATGGGAATCATTACCCCTTTTAATATCTCCACTTAGGCTGGGAGGAAAATTATGGAGTTGCTTTTCCTGGCATCATAAGAATAACATTTATTTAACTCACGAATCTAGCTGGATGTATGGATTCTTGAGCAGATAAAAATGGACAAAGGGCCTCTTTGGACTAGTTTAGTTAAAATATTGCTCACAATGACAATCTTGCCAGCATTAGCTCACATTTACAGGCTCTTCTAATTTGATTAATTCCTTTATTGTTGTTTTGACACACATTTGGCAGAATTAGACTGTTGGAATGAGAGAACCAAAGTGGGCTTGTGCACACTTTGCATCCTATATCTGCAGTCTGAAGATACCAGGAGACCCTGAGCAAGGAATAAAGAACAGTCTGTTCTAACGTGTTTCCTCTGGTCTGGAGGCAGAAGCTTGAGGCTAAATAGATGTCTTTGGGATGGCAGATCAAGGAAGATCTGTCTTTAGGTGAGCAGCATAACATTTTAATGAGATGAGTTCTAACTGAGTACCTTTCAGTTTTTAATGTGTATGTGAATCACCAAGGGATCTGGTTAAAAAGAAGATTCTAATTCAGTTGGTTGAAGGCAGGGTCTGAGATTTGGCATTTCTAACAGGTTCCAAAGGATGCTGCTGGTTTACAAACCTTATTTTGATTGGCAAGGTGCTAGCAGGTATCTTCTTACTTGAAAAGAGCTATTTACTTTGTGTTGTGATTTAGTCTTTAGCAAACATACATTACATAACCATTTGGTATCAAGGAACAAGTATTAGGAAGAGCAGAGAGGAGGTGCTAACTAACATGCTGAGAAAGCTTTATATGTGTCTGCAACAGCACCAGTTGCTTCACATGTGCTATTTTATAGATGTTTTAAAAGGCACCTTGAGACTCTTGTTTGAATGATGTATTTGAATATACAAGCCTTATGCAATAATTCTGTGCAGCATAATTCCTGAGGGGGTCAGGAATGTAAATAATAAAATGTGCCATTACCCATTATTAAGGGACCTAATCATAGATTAGAATTATAATCTTTTAGAAGAAGGTCCAGTCAGTTTGACTGGCTTTCTCAAGGTCATACAGTGTTGACCTTATGGCAGAAATGAAAAATTTGTGTGCTTATGCTTTCCTCCCACCAATACCATGCTGCTTCTTGGAGTGGATGTTTAACCAAGTTCAGAGAGACATCAGTATAAATTTTGATGTCTTGGCCGTGCAAATTGCAGAGTCCTTTAGGAGGTGGAGTGGTTGTGTATGTGTGTGTGTGTGTGTGTGTGTAGGTGAAGGGAGAATGTGTGGATGTGGATGGTGAGCAGGAAAACATCAGGTCCTGCAGGATTCCAGGAATGCTTTTTTCACAGGGACATTTGTGCCATACTTAAGGAAAGAAAAACTGGATTTAGTAAGACTAGTGAAGAAAGAAAAGTAAAATGACACAGTATGAGGTGCCAGTGGCCAAAATCAAGGATGTGGCAATTGGCAGTGAAAAAAAATCCAATTAATTTAAAAGAAATAAAAAATACAAATATATTAGGACTTTTTTATTGACTGGGCAGAGGATTTGATAGAGAGGTAGATGTTTATGAGTTTTAGTTTCTATCTGTGCTGTTTCTCTGTGTCTGTCTGTCTGTCTGTCTCTGCAGTGGTTGTAGGAGTAATTAATAGCGTGGGCTTGATGATCAGACTGGTCCTGGATTTAAATCTTGACTTCTTCACATACTAACTATGTAACTTAAGCATGCGAATTATTCTCTCTAAGCCTCTCAACACAGTTGTTTATAAGGAATTGATGAGATAATCTAACTAAAATATTGAATATGGGGCCTGATCCCACATAGGTAAGATAAGGAATCTGGGTCTATGGGAGAATGCTGGTGTCATTATCTGCAATGAGTCCTCAAGGGTTAAAACTCATTTTGAAGTATGTGGATTGGGACGAACAAGGTGCAGTGGCTTCTACAGACATGATTTGTCAGTGTACCAGGGTTTATGGAGACTGCGTGGGGGTTAGAGCTGGACTACCACGGTTTAATTTCCAATTTGACCAAACACTGAAAGACAGGGATGGAGGGTATGGTTAAAGGTGATAGGATGCAAAGTGTGCGCACAGTCAGAAGCAAAACTATGTCTAGTTTTCTTTTACCTAGAATTGACTTCCATGTGTATGGAATACTGACTACTGAGTGACAGCAGGTTAAGGTGCAGGAGAAAAAACAGGACTCAGGAAAGAGGTGATGAATATAATGTAAGAATCCGGGCTACTGTACCAAGACCAAGTAAACAAACTAGAAGGAGGAGGTCTCAGAGACTTCAGGTGGACTGAGCCTAGGATACAGAGTCTAAGGTGAGAGTGTAGAAAATCTGCTAGAGTGGAAGAAATAGAGAAAGAATCGTCATCAGATTGACAACCATTAAATCCAGGAAATTCATAGGAACTAAAGAGCATGAAGTCTGCTGGGGAAACAGATAGGAAGCATCAGGGTTTTGATTCTGATACTGAAGCTACTTGATATCCAAGCAACTGGAAGAGCCTTTTTTCTGGTCTCGAGAGAGATGATGTGAGTGAAAGGCCTCCAGACCAGGGAAACCCCAAACACCTGCCTGCTAGCAGTACAGGGACCAGGTAGTCACGTTTCTCTGGCAGAGGGATTCTCTTAGCCTACTAAGTGCTCCTGGCCAGAGTTCTTTTCTCTGCCTTCATCTTTCTGCCTACTGTCACCAAGCTTAGTCCCTGAGCACTGGAGTTGCTGTACTGATTGCCTACCTCACAAAGGAGCAGGAGAGAAAGAAAAAGTACAGTAGTAAGAGCAGAAGGGAGGAGAAATACAACAGGAAGTCAAAGAGAAAAGAGAGACAGGAAATCTGGACAACTTAGGATCAAGACCCAAATATGAGGCATCTCTTTCATTACGATGGCATAAATGTGAAAGATAACTGGAAACATATCGATTGAAAAGAGTATTGCAGAGTATCACTTATTCAAGACTCAGAATGAATCAGGTGGTTTACAGAGCCGAGAGAGAGATGTGATCCCTTATGGCTTAACTTGTGAGCAGTGGCACTGACGGAGGAAAGCTAATTCACTTTTTCTGAAAGGAATGGAGTAGAGAAGAATGATTACAGCAAAATGCTTAAACAGGAAAAGTGTCACAACGTTTTATTGAATTCTTGTTTGCGCTGTTTTGGTAAACCTATCAATCATTTTGTGACATTTTACAATGTAACAAGATTTTGGTGTTTGTGAGACATCATTTTGGAACTGCCACAAAGTAGAATGCTCTCTCTCCCGCTCCCATTAAACTGACATTGGGTGTGTGTTTATGAAGCTTGAATGGGCTAGTCTGTTAGCTGAAATTCTTGATTGTAGGTAGCAGAAGTAAACTTGAATTTGAAAAAAAGGAGAATATTGCATAAAAGTGAAGTCTTGGGGTTCCTCAGGACACAAAATCCAGTTGGGCCCCAGGAGTGTTTTGAAATTCAGTTCTGGAAAGCCCTTAAGTGTCCTTTTTTTCTGGGCTGTCTCTGTGTGAACTTGGCTCTGTCTTTCTTGATCTCATCATACCTGCTTCTATGGCAGAGTAAAGCCTCCCCATACAGCTCCCAAACTGACATATAATTTCAACCCCCTCAAAGTGACTGCAGAGTAATTTAAATTCCTGTTCCACATTCTTGGAAGAAATCCTTTATGCTATCTACCCCTACAGCCTCTTAGGTTGGAAGGCCACCCTTGTTTTCATCATATGTAGTATGAACATGTTTTCTACACAGGCCCAGCCCTGTGGATTTTGGGGCATGGGAGGCAGTTTCCAGAAAAATACGTGCTTATGGATTTGGTGGCTTGTACCAAACCCATATATCCTACCATGTCCAGAAGAAGAATGCTGTCTCCTAGTCAATATTTATTGACTGAAAGCACTGAATGTAAGAATGCATTTGTCTAGATAATGCATTTTTTTTTATTTTGAAAGTCATGGTAGTAGAGATCTTGATGAGTTAATTGTTGTAACAGTTAACTTAAAACAAGTTACATTAATTCAAGTCATTTGATTTCTGGACTATTTTTATTTGAAAAACTATTCGAAAATTTTAAAAAGCTATAAATTTTTGTGAGAGCATTGTTAGTGACTTAACAGTACTCACATTCCTTCTGTTTCATGGTATTTCTTTCTTTATCTTTTAAAATATTTATTTGACATTCATGAAGACTAAGCCTGGAGTCATTCGCCCAGTACCTGTAAAATCCAAAATTTTACTGAAAAAAGAGGAGGAAGTCTATGAACCCAATCCTTTCAGTAAATACCTGGAAGATAACAGTGACTTCTCTGAGCAGGTGAGCATGCACATGAGAAAATCTTTGATATTTTGATAAATAACTCTATGAAATGTACAGGTTACTCTGTGAATATATGATGTGCAAGAAAATGTTCATTTGATTAAGGTATGCTTAATAAAAAACATCCATTTTTTTACATAATATAAAGGAACTCATTATATTTCTAAGGTAATATTTTGAAATATTTCAGTTTTTTTCTAAAATTTTTCTACTTAGTTCTGGTATTATTTTGGGGACCAAGACATTCATCTCTATAAAGACATCATGAAGTCATTAGCTGCAGGGGCATATAGGTCTTGCATTCTTATTTTTAAAATCCTGCTTCCTTTTGTAGAGACTCAGTATTTTAGATTTGATATAGTAGCTTTGACAAGAGCTTTGTTGATCAGATTCATATTAACATAGTAGAGATGTGATCCCCCAGATTGGGCAGCACTAGTTAGGTGATAGGGGTTTAAGTTATTTTAAGGTGTTGTTCATTTGGTTCATGTGTGAAAACAGGTATACCATCATCCCCTTATATAGTCAGTGAAAGGCTGTTGACGGTGCTTTCTATTTGGGAAAAATACCAAAATATACATTCATGCAATGCAAAATTCATAAGTTATTTCAAAGAGAAATTTTATATCATGATTTGCCTTATTAAAAATGCAACAAATATGCATGGGTTATATATTTTATATCTCAAGCCTTATTACATGGATAAGCAATGTAAGCAATCTAGAAACCTTTCTGGATATAACCAGGACACGTGAGATCACCATATTTGGTAATCTATAAAAAAATCAATTTATAAAGGAATGTAAGGGATATGCTTTTTTAAACTTTAAGTTTGAAAATGATAATTAACAATATTCCTCATAATATAAATTACATTTGTATGTATAAAATATAAAGAATGTCTTACCTGCTACATATTAGTTATGTTATACTAAACAAGTCATTTTCTCTCTCTGTGCTTCAGTTTGTTGATGTATAAAATGAGGCCTTCAGATCAGGTACATTTTAAGGATCCTTCAAATTCTAAAATTTGGGTAACTTAAAATCTAAAATTAACTCTGACAAGGTCACAAGTCACTATGTAGCCTTGAAAAGTTCATAAGTACTTTCTCATGATCAGAGTTTTTATTTATAAAATGGGCACTATAATATTTTCTGTTTGTTTATACATGCTGTGTAAGGACTGATATGATTTTGTAAGTTAAAAAATTTTAGTAGGTACTAATATCATTGAAAATGATAGAGATAATTATTTTCATAATTTAGAATAAAATGTAGTCTTAAATTAGAGAAATTTTATTGATATATATATTGAGAGTTGTTTTCACTAATTGTATGTAAAACAGAAATGGAACTTCCTGACAGGAAAGCATATTTCCTTCATCAACAAAAACACTTATTAAATATCTATTGCTTGCATGATGCTAATATTTTAGAGGCTTAATGTGTCATTTTAGGCAGTATGGAATCATTATAAAAATTTAGAAAATTAATAGTCTTCTATGACAAAAATGCCAACAGTTAAAATAAATTTCACGTATTATCCATGTAATTAATTTTGTTCAAAATATGATTTAATAATACTGTAAAATAATAATTTTTTTCTTTTGTATAGGTATAATTTAAAATTTATGTATTTTATTTTAAATGATATCCTTCATAGAAAATTAAGTTTATCTATAATTTACCATAACTTACTGTCCTCAGAAATGATAAATTCCACTTTCAAGTGTAGTAGAAGTCATTAAAAAGAATTGCCACTTCCTTACTATCCCCAGATAATTTGTGGAAAATTTGAGCTTGTTTGTAAATATTAAGGTGCTACAGCCATAATCTTATTTATATTTTCTTTCAATCAATTTATTCTTACGTGTATTCCAACTTTCTGTCTGGAACATGGAAAGTGATAGGAATCCGTGGACTGTCAGAGTTGACAGAATTCTAGCATAGCACTTCTAAGTGAATTCCAAATGCTCTCTGGGCTTATTTGTTGACCTTGTATGAGGGGGGAGATATAATAGAACCTCAGAGTTACTGCACAGTGGGACACTGCACATGCTATCAACTGGCCTTTTAATATTGAGCTCTACTTACCATCTCATGGTGTCCAGAATCTATGATGGAAGCAGATACCAAAGACAACTCATAAGTGTAGATGCTTAGCTCCACTTAAAAAGTAAATTGAGTGACAAAAATTTATAATCTCAGCATTGTTACTTAATCAGAACTTCAATAAAAGAGAGTGTACTCAAATTCAGTTCCAGTCCCTGTTGTAGTCTTTTCTACTGGTGCGACGGACTAAATTGAATGGTTCCAAACTCTGTAGATCTCACCCAGCCATGTAATGGAAAATTCTTTAGCCAGACAGTTGGGCCAAATTGAAGCAGCTCACATTCACTAATCTGCTTGTACCAGGGACAGTTCCACATGACAGGAGATGCTGGATGGGATTGTTAAGTCAATAAATTTCCCTTAGCAGCTTCACTGCCATAAAATATGATTTCAAAACTCTCTGTTACAAAATGTCAGACACAAAGATGATGAGACCAGACAGAAATGTATTTACTGGAGCTTAAGAAGGTACAACCAGGCAGCCTTTTGAACTGATAGTGAACTGAAAATTTGCCTGGAGACAGCCTCTTGAGTACTAAAGTGAAAGTTTGAAGCCAAATGCATGATCAAGTAATTAAGATTATTAATCAGCAAATTTTACAACAAAATGGCACAGGCCAGGAAGTGTAATTCTATATTAGATGGGTTTCTTAACAAAGATTCTTCAGGATGAAGTTTACGCTTTTCTGAAATTACCTTTAAGCCCACATTTTGTATCTATTTGTGATCCTTTTGAGTTATTACAAAATATTCTCACACCCCACAAATGGACTTAAAACTCAAGTGATGTGCTTTGAAACATAGTTCCATTGATAATTTAAAGGCAGAGTTGGAAAATAATTAACAGAATTGATTGGACGAACCAGTAGCCAGAAGACAGAGAAGCTTAACAAATCAATTCACTGATGAGAATGAAGATGCTAACGAGCTGAGCTTAATGTTTTTAGTTTGTCTGACTACTTGTAAGTTTGCAAAATATATTGATTGCTTTCTGGTCAGTTAATGTACCTAATTAAACAAAGGTGATTTTTTTCACTGATGATTCTTAATTGAATATGAAAAGCAATTGCTAACCTAAATTATATAAAATAATATGTAATTCTTTTTTGTTCTTTATAAATTAGTAATTAAACCCATGATATTAGATACATCATTTTCTTAGAGAAATGTATAAAAATGTTTTAGACAGAATTAAAGGGGAAATAGCCATTTCATCTGAATTTCTTGGAAAATATATATATATTTAATGAGAAATAATGCCTCCCAGCATGTATGCCCCTTAAATTTTATTTTCTTTCTAATTTGCTTCAATAAGGAAAAGAATATGTTTTTGTGTGAAAATGACCATTTAGCGAATTTCCTCCATACCACTTCATAGAGAACATAAAAGGATAATTAAAGTGAATTTTCTTTGTTGAAGTATTTCCATTCTTTCTTTTAGTCTGATTTTTCCTGGATATCTGACTGCTACCAAACTCTCTGTGTCTGACATTCAGCTCTGATGGATATTTGGGTGGCTTTCAGATTTCTCTCTAACTATTCATCAGGTTGTATTTCTACTGCCGCCCTCACCTGCACTTCCCGGGTCACCCACAGTATTAGTATTATAGAACAAACAGTCATCTTTGCTACAAGGGGAAACTCACAATACTGCCTGTTACTGGGAATGACTTCTGGCTTTGCCACAAACTGCTACTTTTTCAACATTTGTTTCTCAATCAAGATGGCTCACTCTCTTTGTCATAAAGTTATCTTTTGTCACTGCTAACCTTTTATTAAGAAGTATTTTTCAGATCAAAATATTTAGCCTTTTTAGATCTAGAAATGATTACTTGGTTTGTGAATTTTTTAGTGGGAGAGAAATGAAATTCCTTGTATTCCATTTCATTAAAGGTGTTAAGATCAGAGATTTGGCTTCTCCAAGTTTTACCAGGTTTGTTTTTGTTTATCCAAGTAATGAAATTCTTGTGAGATTTTCTCTTCTTTTCCTTTGTCTTCCTTTCTTCCTTCCTTCCTTCCTTCAAGTGTAATGGGTAATATATAATTTCTCATAAAATGTTGGGTACTCTATGTTTTTAATAATGTATCAACACAATAAACTATGTTTTTAATATTAAAAAAATGTCCTATACAGATAGATACTTGCTTTTTCCTTCAAAATATAGTCAGACAGGATCACCTCTTCACACTTGAAATTTCATCTCTCTGCTGCCTGTTTTTTTTTTTGGCTTCAACTTTCTCTTGACCTTGTATTGGGTGTTCAGGTTGGAAGATTGGAACTGAAGGGTTATGATTTTCAGTTGCAGTTGTCTACATTGCTAAGGGAGACTTCTTTTCCAGTTCTCTCCCCTTGTATGTAAGGTTAAGAATCTTAAAGAGATTTTTATTTGCTTTAAAATAAATACACAAAGAAGACCTATTTGCCACTTCCATCATAATAGATAGAATTATTCTAATAATTCTAATAATTAGTTAAGCAACGGAACTCTGATAGTTAAGCTCTGAAGTATTGGATGTTTCAGAAATACTTGGTGTGTGTCTAGTGTCTGACTGTACCCCAATCTACTGGGGAACAATATAGAAATTTGAAAGCTTTATGCAAATGTGTTCTATGTTTTGTTAACCCACGAAGCTCCTGTTTATCTTTATTTAAGAGAACTGGTCATTGCCTTATTTAGAATCTCTTATGTAAAGAATACTCCAGTTTTAAAATAAGGCCTGTTAGTTGGACAATATCCATCATATCATAGACAAATTCTCACAAATGCCTAGGGTGCCTAACTGGTTTTCTTGGCTTCACTGGAGATGGCTGGTAATTATAGATTTGCTTAGTTTATGTCACCGTATTCCTATTATGTTAATATGTGTGCGCAAGTTAGTTAGTA